AAAAAAAAAACCAACAGTACTCATTAGGTGTCAGCACAAATCCTCGTACCAAGCTAAGTTTCAGTGATTTGCAAAAATTGATAGTATTGGTACATTGACATGCTAAGGATCAGCCTCAAACATGCATTTTTCTTCTCTTAAGTTGAAAACAAGAGGGACTATCTAATTAGCAATTTCCAGCCAACTCCGACTGATGACTGAATGTAGACCTAAAATAGTACAATAATTGGCTACCACATTACTTGAGGCTTCCAATCAAAAAGCATATTTACGCTTTCCAACAAGATCAAGCAATTAGACCCTGCTACATTTGCCCACTACAGAGCTAGCCTGCCTCCTGTGCACAGGCCACTGGCTCTTAGTACAGTAGTGTCCATCTGGATGAAGCACAAAAGGTTATTATATCCTTCAAAAATTCAATGAATGCAAGTTTTTCAGAAGTGAAATCATCAAAGGAAGAAAAAGAAAAGCAGGACTTTTGGGAGTGGGAAAGCACAAATAATCCTTCAATACTCAAAAATATCACATTGCATACGTTGAACCAGTCACTATAATTAGACTCAATTACAAAAAGAAAGATGGAAAGACTCGAACTGTTCTGGGATTAAGACTAGGACGTACGTAAGTTGATTTACGGACTGGTTTTTTAAAAAGGCATAAGCAAGCACAGCACTGCAAAAGAATGAAGAAGACCTGGTTGACAAAGTACATACAACACATNTGATCCTGCATGCATTCAACTAAATGCCTGACCAAAAATAAAAAGGCATAAGCAAGCACAGCACTGCAAAAGAATGAAGAAGACCTGGTTGACAAAGTACATACAACACATGCCAAAACCACTGCGATGGCAAACCCTGATCCTCCAGTTCCTTCTTGTAATCCAATAGCCGCCGCAAGTGCTGTTACCGTTGCTGAATGTGATGATGGCATTCCACCTGAGCTAAGTATCCTTCTAGAATCCCACCTCTTCTCCTTAAACCTAAACATGAGGCAATAATCACAGATTTAAATGCAAAACAAAACATAAAAAAACTTTTTTAGCCCAGCAGTACTTCTTTTATGAAGGAAATGGTAAAATATTTTCAAATAAAAAAAGAAAGTCATACATAAGAGGAGAAGGAGTCCCCCAAAGATACATAAAGAAAGCAAAACATGAAAACCAAAACAAGTTCAAACAAAAATTACAATAAGACGACAAAAAAACAAGTAGCTCCACTAATCACAATTTTGAGCCTAATGGTCAAATCCCTTCAAACTCCTTGGACGTGGACATCCAAAGAGATGCCATAAAAGATACTTTCTTCCAAAGATCTTCCCAAGGAACCGCAGTATTTCTAAAAATTAGGCAGTCAAATTTACATTCCTAATTTTCTCTACTCTATTCCATAACTATAGACAATTGTACCATCCACAATCCCTTTCCACATCTCTATCCATCTTGCATGTGGAAAGAAAGATTAAAGAGCAGTTATCAATCCCAACACATGTCTCTCCTATATGTATTCCACTTGTTCTTGAGACAGCAAATGAAATATTGCTCTTCTACTTCTGTACAGCAAATATATAGTCCACATACACCATCATCTGCTTAAGTTTAAGAGTACTCCACTTGAATGTGGTATCAAATAAATTACTCCAATATGAGGTGGTCTTGTGTGACAACTTTCCATCAGTGTAAGAAAAGATAAGATAAGATAATTGGCATTAACAAACAAGTGTACTTATCTAGAATCATGTTTCTTTACTAACAAAAAGGGTGAGCAAGTAAGTATATTCTTCACTCTACTGATGTTGCAAATTAACCAACGCAGAAATAGAAACCCAAAAATCCTATAGTGGTGTCTCAACTCAAAAACTGTTCAGAGTATATTGCTCTTATCAACATATTCCCAATTCTTCCCCTACTTATTACCCAACAAGTACATGCGATTTTTTTCTCAATACCTCAGCAGGAAGCATTGATGCATTGACGTTTCACCTAATATAATAATGATGTTTTAAGAGCTCCATTAGTACCAATCGCCAGGACAACAAATAAGCAACAATTATTGTACATACGTATGACACACGTATCGTAAAAACTTTACTATCTTAGTAACATCAAAAGTCCCAAACTATAGGAACCCATGAGCCATTCAACCCAACACCAATTGGGCAAGGGATCGAGAGGCCCATTAGGTTCCTAAAAAAATCTAGAATATTTGATATTTTCAAAATGAAACAAACGGTTTCTAACATCAACTTATGAACGCACCAAAAAAAANCTAAAAAAATCTAGAATATTTGATATTTTCAAAATGAAACAAACGGTTTCTAACATCAACTTATGAACGCACAAAAAAAAATAAAATTCAAATATGCTCATAAAATCAGGCGAAATCAATTTTGCAAATCAATCCAAATAAAGAACACAATTCATGCCTTGACCGAGCTACAAATACAGAGCCAGCCTTCTACACTTAGGAAAANAATAAAGAACACAATTCATGCCTTGACCGAGCTACAAATACAGAGCCAGCCTTCTACACTTAGGAAAATTCATCAAATCGGAGAGAGAGAGAGCAGATACCAAGTGGTGAAGAGCTTGAGAAACTGAGCGATAGCGCAGGAGAGGAAAGCAGTGAGAAGAGGAAGGTTCGAAGGTACAACGGACGGGTCTGATGAATATGATCGGAAGCTAGACAACGCATCACCGGCCGTGATCACCTCGTCCATTGATGAAAACCCTTTCAACCTTCAATCGCTAATCGGAGCCTCCTCTTCTCGTTTTGTTGGGAAAAAGACGAAATGCGAAATTCTTTTGCTTCGTTTGCTGGATTTCGTCGGTGCGTCGTCAATTGGAGAAGCCATTGGCCCAATTTTAATTGTCGGGGTTTCCATTGTGGGGCCCACTATGCAGGGGCTAGTTGGTTACAACTGTGGAGACGAAAATTTTCGGTACCATCAAATTTTATAAATAGTTAATTAGCTGGTAATATCTAAAGTGCGAAATCTGTCTTATTTTTATCTTAAATATTTTAATTATATTATTTTTATTTTTAAAATATTGAATATGTTCGCATGATGTTCCTCGATCAAGAGACATTCAAATTATTAATAATTTTTTATCATAAATTTGTTATATAATACAAAAATATAAACAAAAAATAATATGAATAATTTTTGATTAAAAATGTGTAATATGAGTAGCTCTTGACTAAAATTTAGATAAGTCATAATAAAAATTATATAATTTGGGTATTTTTTTGACCAAAAATTAGATAAAAATTTAGTCAATTATTATTTAAATTATTTGTTTATTCATATTTAACTATTAAGTAACAAGTTTATTATAAAAAAATTGATAATAATTTGAACGTTATCTTCCTGAAGAACTATATAAAAATATATTTAATATTTTAGAGATTAAAATTATATAAACAAAAATAAAATAAATCTCATACTTTTAAGATCTCTAATATAATTAACATTAAAAATAAATTACAAAACTTATAATGATGGTACAATATTAATTTTTTTTGTTTTTGTTTTTACCATAGACTTCTCCATAGTATGGTAAAGGAAGGGGAAGATCGGAAGGCTGGATTTGTGGATTCCTCACGGTGACGCAAGATCATTAGCTTTGCTGGTTATATTTACAATTTTGTCCATGACAACTTTTGGGAGGATGATATTTTTTCTTTTTGGGTAAATTGCATTGACACCCCTGACATTTAGTTTTTTTACACGAACACCCCCTCACATT